AGAGAGAGAGAGAGAGACAGAATCCGAAGCAGGCTCCAGGCTCTGAGCTGTCAACACAGAGCCGGACGCAGGGCTCGAACTCACGGACTGTGAGATCATGACCTGAGCTGAAGTTGGACGCTTCACTGAGCCACCCAGGCACCCCTGACATCATTGTTTCTATTTACCAATCTTGGTTTAGGTCATTTGCCTTACAGAAATAGACCTAAGCTGATATGACATAGTGATGAGAAGAGCTTTAGGCCTTTTGCTTCAGGACCCATGATCTTGGATATCCTGAAGGTTGCCATAGCTGGCAATAATAACCTCTGTATTCTAAAGTTTTAATGTCATCTCTCTGCTCTTATTCCCAGGCCAAGGATGCAGTCCAAGAAAGTTCTAAAAATATATCATCAGGTCCAACTTGGTAGTTGACCTAGCCATGGAAAGCCTCATTGGATCCTCACTGGGTCAGACCATAACTGGCATTCTTAAAAACTCTTCCCATCATAAAGTATCAAGAAGGAAAATGTAGGATATATACCTACCACTTCAAGAAAGCTCCTGTACCAGCCAACAGACTAACAGATTAGCTAGCTGCTTTGATCGTCAAGCAGATGTACTCAAGCTCAGCACAGCACAGGAAAAATCTCTCTGAACATTTTTCACATTCTGTGTGTGACCTATTAGCAGGTCATGAAATCAGTTCTGTAAGTCACAGTGAAAGTTTTTTTAAAACAGTAAAATATATCAAGTGTTTTGTGTGATTCCTCTGCCAGAATTATGCTACCAGGAATACTAAGGTCAATTTCAAGATCTGAAAAGAAAATTAACTAATGGAGGGCATATAATGAACAGAATGTATACTGGCTAAGAAATGGCTTTTCAAGCATTTGTCCACTGGTGTCTTGTTTCGTTTTCATAATAATAAAGTTGGTGAGCAGTCTAGTTTATGTTCCCGTGACTTACAACTAGATGTGAAGTCTGAGATGTTCAACTGAGATGCATTTGCAAACTATATTTTTTGGGAAAGATGTTATCTAGGCTATATATATATATACATATATATATATATATGTATACATATATATTTATATATACACAATTTTTTTGGTGGCATTTAAAACATTTTAATTAGCATTACTTTTAAAATGGATCCTATCGTTTTTAAAAGAAAGAGGAAAAATGAAGTGAAATGTGCAGACACTTGTTCAAGTTCAGCTGCTGCACCTGGAAATGTGAATAGTGACCATGTTGAGAGAAATACTGTAATCTGCAAACTTCAACCTCGTTTGAGCCACATTTCAAAAAGAAAAAGGTAAGTGCAAGACGTTATAATGAAGATTATTTAAAATACGGTTTTATCAAATGTGAAAAACCCTTTGAAAATGACAGACCTCAGTGTGTTATTTGTAATAATATTCTTGCAAATGAGAGCTTAAAACCTTCTAAATTAAAAAGGCACTTAGAAACTCAGCATGCTGAACTTACTGATAAGCCTCTTGAGTATTTTCAAAGAAAGAAAAAGGATGTAAAGTTGTCTACACGATTTCTTGGTTGTCCTACAGCTGTTAGCGAGAAAGCCTTATTATCGTCGTATTTGGTTGCATATCGAGTGGCGAAAGAGAAAATGGCTCACACGGCTGCTGAAAAAATAATTCTTCCAGCGTGTTTGGATATGGTGCTTACAATTTTTGATGACAAATCGGCTGATAAATTAAAAACGATATCTAGTGATGACATAATATCTCTTCGAATGTGCACTATTGCGGAACACTTAGAAACAATGCTTCTTACCCGGTTGCAGACTGGTATAGACTTTGCGATCCAGCTCGGTGACAGCACCGACCTGGGGAGCGGCACGACACTCTTAGTTTATGTCAGATACGCGTGGCAAGAAGATTTCATGGAGGATTTTTTTGTGTTGTTTAAATATAACCTCACACCTAAGCGGGTTAGATATTTTTACAGAATTAGAAAAGTGCATTGTTGGCCGATATAAATTAAACTGGAAGAACTGCAAAGGGATTACAAGTGACGGAGCAGCAAGCAAAACCGGAAGACACAGCGGACTAATTAAACAATTGCTAGAAGTGACTAATAATGGCGCCGTGTGGAATCACTGTTTTATACATCGTGAAGCTTTAGCATCCAGAGAAATCCCACAGAATCTCTTGGAAGTACTGAAAAACGCAGTGAAAGTTGTTAACTTCATTAAAGGAAGTCCGCTAAATAACCAGCTTCTTGAAACATTTTGTTCAGAGATTGGAGCTAATCGTACCCACTTACTTTACCATACCAAAGTTCGTTGGTTGTCTCATGGCAAAATACTAAGCAGGGTTTACGAACTCAGGAACGAGATCCACCTTTTTCTTACTGAAAAAAAAATCTCATTTGGCAAGTATTTTGGAAGATGACATTTGGGTGATGAAATTGGCATATTTAACAGATATTTTTGGCATTCTTCACGAACTGAGTTTAAAACTACAGGGGGAAAATAGCAATATATTCCAACAGGTCGAACGCATCCAGGGATTCCAAAAGACACTATTGTTATGGCAAGCGAGGCTTAAAAGCAGCCGTCCGAGCTATGACATGTTTCCAAGATTTTTGCAACATATCAAAGAGAACGTTATTAGTGAAAACCTTTTGAAAGAAATAAAATTAGAGATATTGGTGCATCTCACTTCTCTGTCTCAAACTTTTAACCATTTCTTTCCAGAAGAGAAGTTTGAAACGTTAAGAGAAAACAGCTGGGTGAAAGATCCCTTTGCTTTTCGAAACCCAGAATCGGTAATTGAGTTAAACTTGGTGCCTGAAGAAGAGAGTGAATTACTGCAGCTCAGTTCCTCATATACATTGAAGACTGACTACGAAGCATTAACAGTATCGGCATTTTGGATTAAGGTAAAGGAAGACTTCCCTCTGCTAAGCAGAAAGAGTGTCCCGCTTCTGTTACCATTCACAACAACCAGTTTGTGCGAGCGTGGGTTTTCAGTCCTGACCCAGTTAAAAGCAAAGGAAAGAAACGGGTTGAAAGGTGCAGCAGATATGCGGGTGGCACTGTCCTCCTGTGTTCCCGACTGGAGTGAACTTCTCAGCAGGCAAGCACACCCGTCACCTTAAGTGAATCTTCCCTGATTTGTGTTCTTGTGTTTCTTATTTTGTGACATTTTTCTATGCTGAATTCAGATGCTAACATAGCATTGTATGTGGTAACTTGGTTTTTATTTTTGGCATATTTAAATATTAATGAAATCATAATGTAACTTTCCATTCTTTGACCAAAACTTTAATGAACTTCTGTTAGAGGCCAGGAAGTTTTCTAGAGACATTTGGGATGCAAAATGAAGAAAGCAAAGATCATTCTGTAGCGGAACTTCATGGAACTGGCAGGGAGAGAGACAGACAGACCATAAATAACCCTTAAAATATTTTAAAGGTAATAAGTGCTATAGAAACAGCAATAAGAAAGAAGGCTCGGGAACTGTTATATGGGCACCAAATCATGAAGGGCTCTGTAGACCATCAAAGGGCCTCTGGGTTTTTGTCTGAAATGGAGAGCAGTTGAAGGATTATGCAGAGGAAAGATGTGATGTGAATTAGGTTTTAAAAGATTGACTCCATAGGTGCCCAGCTGGCTCAGTCAATAGAGCATGTGCCTCTTTTTTTAAATTTTATTTTATTTTTAATATTTATTTATTTTTGAGACAATGCGAGAGACAGAGTGCAATCAGTGGAGGGATGGACAGAGGGAGACACAGAATCTGAAGTGGGCTCCAGGCTCTGAGCTGTCAGCCCAGAGCCCGACCGACGCGGGGCTCAAACTCACAAACTGTGAGATCGTGACCTGAGCTGGAGTTGGACGCGTAATCAATGGGAGCCACTCAGACGCCCCTAGAGCATGTGCCTCTTGATCTTGGGGTTGTGAGTTTGTGCCCCACATTGGGTGTAGAGATTACTTAAAAGAATAAAATAAGATGAAATAAATAGAAGACTCTGGCTGACATTTTGAGAATAAATGGAATTCAACGTTAACTTCCCTAAAGAGGATTTTCCTAACCCACCTTAGTTTTTGTTCCATTATTCCCTTTGTTTCTTTTCTTGGTAGTGTATCATTTGTAATATTTTTATTTATTTGCTAACTGATTCTGTCAATCTGCTACCCTGGAATGAGTGCTTCATAGGAGCAGAATTCATGTCCATTTTGTATGATACACAGTAAGTGGGGATGTAATGTACATCTAATTAACAAATAGTGATCTCTAACATCTGTAACTTGAGGTTGTATTCTCAGGAATAATTATTAAATGTGTGGCAAAGTCTCTTTTACATTTTTAAAAAAACTGATTTATTTTTGAGGGAAAGAGACAATGTGCGAGCATGGGAGGGACAGAGAGAGGGGGACAGAAGCATGCTCTACATGGACAGCAGCGAGTCCAATGTGGGGCTTGAACTCCCCAACCTTGAGATCATGACCTGAGCTGAAGTCCGATGCTTAACTGACTGAATCACCCAGGTGCCCCCCCCCCCATTTTTTTTTTTTTTTTAACATTTTAAAATCTGATTTGGTCAGATAATCTCTATAAGCATTCCAAAATGGCATTGATTGATATGGCTTCCTCACATTGTTGCTGATAATTGAGCAACTTAAATTGCTTAATATGTGTTCCTCAAATTAATTTCAACTTCTGCCTTTATATAGTCACTGATTCCAGTGGGTGGTGTTGCTCTTGGCAAGGGCTCTCTCTAAAATTGTAAAGGTGAGCAATTCCTTTCCATCAGCTACCATGCTTAGCATTCTTGTAATATTTGTGTTTTCAGATTTTGTCTTCTATCAAAGGTGATTTTTTTTACTTGCCTTTTTGGGACTCGAAATAAAGTGTTGGAATACAGTTCCCCAGGAATATCTCACATGTCTGCTCAGCGTGGATTCTCTGAATGAAGGTATTTGCATCCACATTAAGAATGCTTGTCGGGGCGCCTGGGCGCCAGTCGGTTGCGTCCGACTGCATAGCCAGGTCCGCGTCTCGCGTCCGTGAGTTCGAGCCCGGCGTAGCTCTGGGCTGATGGCTCAGGAGCCTGGAGCCTGTTTCGATCTGTGTCTCCCTCTCTCTCTGCCCTCTCCCCCATTCATGCTCTGTCTCTCTCTGTCCCAAAAATAAAAAACGTTGAAAAAAAATTAAAAAAAAAAAGAATGTTTGTAAAGGGAGACAGTTGAGGATCATGAAGCTAGAGACATACCAGGGAAGTAAAGATAAAACCTTCTTTCCCTCCCCTGAGTTGTTTGCTTGCATTCCAGAGTAATGGATAATCTCCCTGGAGACGAGGATGGGAAGATATACCAGCAACCCCACAAAACCCTAGAGTCTAATGTCATGCAACCCACTGCATGATGGAGAGGTGACATCTGATCCTTACCATGTCACACTGTGGGAGTTGGGGTATGGGGAGCTAACAAACAAAACTGATGTGTCTGCTTCTTTTTTTTTTGGCTGTGAGTAATAAATTGTTTCTGACTCAAAGATCGTGTGTCTTTTTGTCGGTATATGACACTCTGCCGGATCCCTTTGTGCAAGGCACACATTCAAGGTTTTGGGTATTAGGATCTGGACATCTGTTGGGTGGTGAAGGGGGGACTCAGCCTATCATAGTCCACTCTTACCAAAGACTCATACGCATCTTGCATGAGAAAGATACTCACCCATCTTGAATGTGACCAGAAGTCTCAGCCCATTACATCAGCTCAAGTCCAAAACCTCGTCTAAGTCTCACTGGCTCAAAGGCTCAAGTCTTCCACCTAAATCACCTAGGTTAGGTGTGGGTACAGTATCTGGGTATAATCTATCCTGAGGCAAAATCTTGCATCTGTGACCTATCTGTGACCTGTGAAATTAGAAACCAGTTCTGTGCTTCAAAATACCCAGACTGTTCTAGGGTAATAGTCACAACCCGTTCCCATTCAAAAAGGGAGAAAAACATTAAATTCTGGTTCCTTTTTGTAACAGTTCCCTCCTTTTTATCTCTTTTACATTTTACTAAAAGCCACAAAAAAACCCAGGACATACCTCCAATACTTGGCTTGGAAATCTCACATAAAATCCAAGTTCGTTGCTCTCAAGTCCTGTTTTCTATATAATTATAGGACATAATCCATCCTAAACTTCCCCTTTCTATCATTCTATAACAGACCCCCAAAAAACCCAAAAACTGCTGGCGAGGTGCTTCTGAGCCCTCACAGCAGTGCTTTTAACATCCAATTATGCTACAGTTTGTTTACAACGACTTAGGTATTCTTTTTTTTCTTTTTCTTTTTTAAGTAGGCTTCACGTCCAGCAGGGAGCCCAACATGGGGCTTGAACTCATGACTCTGAGATCAAGACCTGAACTGAGATTCAGAGTAGGATGCTTGGGGCGCCTGAGTGGCTCAGTCGGTTGAGCGTCCGACTTCAGCTCAGGTCATGATCTCAGGGTCCATGGGTGTGAGCCCCGTGCGTCAGGCTCTGTGCTGGCAGCTCAGAGCCCAGAGCCTGCTTCGGATTCTGTGTCTCCCTCTCTCTCTCTGCCCCTCCCCCACTCACGCTCTATCAAAAAATGAATAAATGTTAAAAAAAATTAAAAAAAAAAAGAGTAGGATGCTTAACCTACTGAGCCACCAAGGCACCCCAATGATACAGGTATTCTTTAAGACCATACAGGTTTGGGGTGCCTGGATGGCTCCGTTGATTTCAGCTCCGGTCATGATCTCGTGGGGCTAGACGCTGACAGCATGGAGCCTGTTTGGGATCCTCTCTCCTTCTCTCTGCCTGTCCCCCAGTCACTCTCTCTCTCTTTCAAAATAAATAAATAAACTTAAAAAAAAGGATGATATAGGTTTTCTCTACCATGCTCTTCACTCCTGAGACCTCAGAGACCTGAGTCTTTGACACCCGTATTTCTACTAACAATCTGTTTTAAGGCAATGTAGATTTCTTCTACTGTGTTCCCCCAAATGGTTTCAGCCTCCGTGCAGTTGCAAACCACTTCCATATTTTGAGTATTTGTTCCAGCAGGCTTGCCAAAATCTGAAGCCAGAAAAATCTCATTGTTTCGATGACTGTAGCTGCCTCATCTGTTCTCCAACTTCACCTCTGCTTTGGGGCACCTCCTTGCAGATTCTGGCCAAGATTAGCCAAGAGTAACTGTCCCTGGTGACATCCCAAGCTCAGTCGCGGAACTGAAGAAAACAGGGAAACAGAAAAGGGATACTTCCAGATCCTGCTCTAACAAGCTACCATAAACCTAGTGGCTTAAAACAACATGTATCTGTTTAGAAATGAGGTCAGAAGTCCAACGACAGTCTCCCAGGACTAAAGTCAAGATGTCAGCAAGGCTTGTTCCTTCTGGAGGCTCTAGGGAATAATCAATCTCTCCTTTTTTTTTTTTTTTTTTT